TTCATGTCTGTATATGGTTGCTATTGCACATTAAAACTTCTCCCTTTTGACACTTACATATTTTAAGAACACGTGGACTGCTTTGTGCTTTTGAGGGTTGATTGTAGCCTCAAAGAGGGGGCGGAACACATTCTCCAGTATCTTGGCAAAGCTTGGGATTAATTTCTTTGACTTGAAAATATCACTGCAAGACAAGATGAGCAAATTTAACCCATCTTCCTGCATATGACACAAACATTTTACAGTTTGTTTGCTTATTGAAAACAGCTGACTGAGAAGTGTAATTATTCAGAACCCAATTATGCTGGATTTAGCCTTCAGTTGATGCTTACTAAATCCTGGGCACTTGGATCATCCATCTCATGTTGGGCGAGTGGACCTTATGCTGGATGAACCACGTCGCTAGGCTCTCCCACTCGCTCGCAGAGCGGCCGTAAATTGACAGACGGGGCTCGGCATGTTGGTATTTGCTCTCCTCCAGCTCCGCGGCGACTTCCTGAAACGGATAACAAACCACAGGAAGAAACAGGATGTTTCTTGATAAAGCAGAAGTGACTAGTTGTAACTGCTCAGTGGACGGATATGGCAACACTTTGTGCTTTTTACTGCATATGCCAAAGCATCGCTTAGATGAGCAGCACTACCAGTGCGTGTGAGGCATATATATATCTTATTCCAATTCATCATGAATATGACTCAAATCTTTGTACGTGTAGCAACATTTGATTGTATCAAAATGTCACAGTGACTCAGCATGCACAACACCAGGGCCTTAAAAAGTAAAAGCAGCTTTGTGGAATTTAGCCATTGTTATTTGATTATTTATGTTTGGGCTTTTTCCACAGTGATGTCATAATGTCTAGAAAAAAATATGGGAACAAAACTGGGAACATCCTGAACATATAATGGGATGGTGGCCTGTACTTCATTGCTTTAACTGTAGGCAGTTTATATCCAGGTCAATTTCCTCCTTTTCTGTGGGATCAGTTCAAGTTGCGCTGATAAAAATGTCAATTGTAGTCAAACAACAGGCTACAGTTTCAAGTTTAAACATGAGTAAATGCACTGTTTCCCACACATAGGCTTTATTAGGTCACGCCTCATATTTGTTGGCTTGCTTTAGCATTTTGTATTTTGTATATCTTTTGTCTGAATGGGAAAAAAAGGCCTTCATGCTTTCCGTGACAGCTGGCTCTACTAACTAGTTGTCCTCATTATTATTCAGCTGCTAACAGGATCTTGTAAAGAGGCTGTAGCTCTCATTGGTAGTGCTTGTTCTGCACTGTAGATCAACTGGCACACTGAGACTGCAAACCAGGACAAGAACTGTACATCTGTAGCTCTAAATGAATTTATACTTAATAGAGATTCACTTGAGAAGTGGCTGATAATGTCCTTCAGTTATCTGTCTCAAAGAGACTGACAGAAGAAAAGTATAAATGTCATTATTTAATTGTCAAATTACATCTGTGCCTCCTATTTTGTCACCATCTGGATCTGTTTCAACATGAATAATGTAAAGTAGTTCCTTTTTTGTTCTCCACCTTGGCTATTTACCTGCACGCACGCGTGTCAAACATGACAGGCCAAAACAAGAGCAAATAAATTCTGCATGTAGTTTGATGCCTTTACATAATTTCAGTTTAGCTACAGCTAAGCAGGCCTTCAAGTGGTGTTAGCGCTTTAACTCATACTATACCTTAATGAGACGTGCAAAGTATTCTCCTTTGATGTAGTTGTCCGCTTTCAGGTAAATCTCCCGCAGCTCGCTGGCCCCCACAGGGTTGTATTTTGAGTTGAACTTATCAAACCGATGAAAGGTTTGCCTTCCCTAGAAGAATAATTGATCGGTCAGACAGTGAGGCTCATGCAGCGCAGTGGCGATCACAACATTTTCATTTCATTAAAGGGACTGCAGTAGAAATGTAACATTGTAGATGGGTTCAATAAATTTTTTATAAATGTTGGCCCTGAACTAGCAGCGGACATCCCGTGTCAAAAAAATGAAAATATCAGTAATATAAAATCAAATCCCTTTTCACTGCTCCTCTCAGCTACAAATGAGCAAGAAGTAATAAATATCACATTAAAATGTAAACGTAAGTCTTCAATGGATTATCATGACATAAATATGTCTGTAGTTAAACAGGTTATTCTGAATATTGCTAGTCCCTTAACATATGTCTGTAATTTATCATTTCAGTC